CTGACTAGAGGGGAATTTTGAACTGGTTCTTAAATGCACACAGGGCTTGATGACACAAGCAAAGAATAGACTCCAAGTTACTCCATCTAGGAGGCAGGAGGAAAAAAAGCAAAGAGCTCTTGAGGAAGAAGGGACTCAGGCTAAGGGAGACCTTTAGAGAAAAGTCTGCTGATCTCTTAAGTAGCTGATAATAATGCTTTGGAACCACCAATTTTATATAATTGTGAAATGTTCATTCAAAACAGCTCAGCTGGACTGAGCTGGTAAAACACGAGAACTGAGAATATCAGTGCTGCTTATCATTAGGAAGAATGAGCAGAGTTCGAGACCCACTGTTGGTCAGTACATGGTGGTGGTGTTGTATAGGGGCTTGTTCTGGTAAATTTTCCTTTGAAGCACTGTGCACCTCGACTTAGCATTTTCCAGTTCTCGCCATAAGGTTTATTTGCATTACTACCTTTTCTCCCCTTGCCTTTTTGTTATTGTTGCTGCTTTTCCTTTTTAGCACTATTCTAAGGAATGACACATTAAATAATAATGATAATGAACTCTGGACATATTGCTCATCTTCTGACAATTTGGGGCTAATAAAAACGTACACATACTTTAACTGCTGTAGTCACTTGACTTGTCACTAATTGCATATCCCAAAATTGGAAAAAAAAGATCATAGAAAGCAATTTAATATCCCTGAAGCTATTAAAATTCACCCAGTCTATATGAAGGTAATTTTACGTGAGGAGATTCAGATAACAGGTAGAAATAATGATTGGCAAGTGTTTATGTTCAGGAGAAGGTTAATTATGCAAGTCCTTATTGATATATAAAATTAATTTATTCCTCCATTTCACTAATTTTTTTGAGCACATTTTTTTGAGACGTGGCTACCACGTCTAATTTGGAGTTATTCAGTATTGAATCACTTGCTGAAGAAAAAATATCAGAAACAGGGTCAGCTCCATAAAGCTGAAAAAAATAGAGTGAATCTGTTTGAAATGCGATACCATACAGAGTGGGTAAGGAGAAGATAATGTTTCAAAGGACAACTGTGTTAGTAATGTGGGCATCACCATTATTATTAACAATTAAAATAATGATGATAATCATCCTTATTATTCGTACAATGATTTTTTCTACTTGGGAGCTCCAAGGACTAAAACATCTTGTCCTTTTTATCTCTACATAGCTCATTAGGTTGGGAGGGTCAGGAATTACTATCCCTGTTTTTCATATGGAGAAAATAAGAGAGAACGGAATCTGCTGGTATAAGACTATATGATAAATAACTTGGTTACAGGGCTCAGAAATGTAAACTTTTAATTGTTTATTCCAAGTGTTTTGGTCTGTATTCTCTTTTCTCTTTATCCTATGCTGTCCCTCCTGTCTCCTTCTAAGCCACACGGAAGAACATGTCACTAAAATAATTGTGGGAGTGGGAGTCAGGAAAGGGGGCAGAGTGGTATCTTGAAGACAATAGTGATGTGAGCTCCACGAAAAGACATGTGTAATCGTCCTCATTTATTTTTTCTTTTTCTTTTAAAAATTCTCTCTCTCTCTCATCTAATTCAAAAGCTATGATGCTTGTTAAAAAAAATCCACCATGAAACCAAAAAATACATAAATGAACATGAAAGTTTCTCTCTTATTTCTTACTCCACTTCTTACTGTTAAGAATTTGGTGTGTCTTCTTCTATATATTTTTTTTAATGTATGCA